TCCAAGCTTACTTTTCTTCGAAGAATGGAGCGCCATCTGTGCTTGAAGTATCTTGGCGCACTGTTTTTTACATTCATTTTCCCGTTAGCGCTATCCATTCAGTGTCAACAAAAAGACTACACGCGGTATGTCACTCCGTGTGATGTGAAAACACAAACTCGATCTGTTGTGTACTACCTTAATAGCGATTGGTAAGTAGTTCTGCATTTGTACGTATTGTAAACTGATCGACTCAAAAAAACCCCACATATTAAGTAACTCCCACGTTTATGACTCAGTGTTAGTGCAATTCTATACAACTTTATAATTAATTTACTTTTCCAATTTTGTGGACTGAAGGGTGATCTCGAATCTATAACTAGCGTATGTTGAAGCTATGCGCTTTATACTTTATGCTCGCATTTCACGTCAGTATTATTTCATAGGCGAAGGTTCTCTCAATTTATAGATTTTTCACTTTTTGTGGCATGGGAAACTTACAAAAATTACTCAAGATAACCTTGCAATATGATCCACGCGAAAATGAAAGAGAAAAAGTTACATCTAATTTTCCTCTTTCATTATGACCTTGGCGACTGTGGTATTACAATTGAACTTACTGTTTGCTCGCTTGACACAAATGCCGAATCGTTTGGAAAATGTCAGAAGTCTTATGATTTGTCAGTTTTTACAAGACAAACCATTCGTTAGGAATACAAACACGACTCTAACGTGGCAGTTATTGATATTATTTCGCGACAAAAGCTAGTAACATTAGACTAAAAGCTTAATTAGTATAAAGCTAATGTTTGACGAAAAAAGAAGTCAAGGCATCATCAAGCTGCTAAACGAGATCTGTGAACTAGGAGATTCACTGTTTTGTTATTTCAATATCACACAAGCTATTGGTGAATCAATACCACAATGAAACGTTCTTGCAAGAATATATTAACATAACAAGTACTAAGCAGGGTGTTGTGGTAACAGCATGTAGCTCACAATGACATATCTCCATTAGAAACATTATCATGTGATTTTCTGTGTTGTACAAAGTTATAATCAAATCAAAGAAAAAAAA